ATAGTTGAGAAGTCTGTATTATTCATTTATTTTATTAAATGTTTTAAAGACTTAAGTTGCCTATTTTATGGCAAGTTGAATATATTATTTTATTCTAAGTTGTTCATTTGAGTTGAAGTTTTGAAAAGTTGAGTTTATTGAATTTTATTCAGTTTTAAGCTTTTGCATGCTTAAGTTAGTCTTCCGCTTGTAGTCAGCCAGGATGAGGGTTCGCTTGGGGACCAGCAATGGTCTTCGAGTGTCGGCCACGTCTAGAGTGTAGACTCGGGTCGTGACACTAATTTGTCATCAAATTTAATTCTTTGTAATAATAAGTATATATAATCTAATTCATCACCGGTCAATACTTCACTCCATAGTTAATTGATAACCACTTTATGTTTAAACTTGATGATGCATGCTTTTTGCATAAGACACTATATAAGAGCCTCCATTTCATTCACCATGCTCCAACATAAAAAAATAATTTGGCATGAAAATGCTACAAAAAAAAAATTATTTATACGTTGTGAAATGTTAGTAAGTCTCATAATTGCCTCTAACATTACCTAGAGTAATATAGCTCTATCTAATTAGTCACGAATATTGATGAGTATATTTTCAAAACTCAAATATCTAGTATTGTCTTATTTTTTTCGTCAATATTACTCCATTACATCTCAAATTAATAAATCAACTAATTCCTGATTTTTTTTAGAAGTGATATTGTTTCAAGATGAAACAAAATTACTTATAAGTTGTAGTTTTGCAAATGAGGTGCATTTTTTCAATATTTAAATATCCAAAAGAAAATATAGGGACAAAAATATTGCAACTTCCGTAGTGCCTTATTTTAATATAGTATGTGTTACAATTTCTAAGAATCATCTAATCTTCTTATTCTAAAATAATTTTAATGGTCTTTGAGATTGATCTGTGATGGATTTGATCTTTGAGTTTGAATTTTAAGGAGTTAAGTTTTATCACTGTCAATTTTCAATCTAGACAACCTCAGATGGGTGATGTGATGATTCTAAAAGGTCTGAAACTTGTTATTTGATCATGTATTGCACTATTAGTTTCTGTCAGGGCAGTTTTTGATGAGTTTTCGGTGCCTGTTCAAAGATTTGTGTTTAATTGTCGTCAGGGGTGAATTTAAGCTTAAAAAATGGGTCACCTAAACCTGTGGTCATCCGACAAAATTCGATATATTACTTGTATAATTTTTAAAATATATCAAATAGCAACTGTAGGAACCCATGAACACAAACAACTAGATGGTTCACTGGTTTGAGCGTCAGTTTTCCACTTTGAGGTTGAGGGATCAATTCCCAGATGCTGCACATTCAGCCTTTTTAAAACTTCTTCTAATGACTTTTTCTTATAATAAAATTTATTTATTTTGCAAATGTATTTAATATTTTTCTTATTGTTCTTATGAAAAACCTATATTTATTATTGCTAAAATAAATAAGGCCCCTCAAATTTGAAAGCCTAAATTAGTTGCCTTTTTTCTTATAGGGACAGAGCTGCCCCTAACAATGATGCACCTGTCTTCTTGAAATTCTAGATTCACCTCTGATTGTCGTTGAGATTTAATGGTACCACCTAAATAAAACGAGGTACATTGTCTATAGACATCCAAGGGTGCTTTTATAAATCTATTGAACTAGTGGATTGTCCATTTAGTTTTTTCATGAACTACTTACATTTATATATGTATATAATTCGTAGGTGATATGAACTTTTTAGTTTGGAGATTTAACATGGTAACATTTGGAGTGATATATCAACCTATAAATAAAGATATCATTCACCATTGTAAGAGATACTTGAATAGAAAGAAAAAATTTCTCCTTCATCTACTTATTTTGTCCTCTTTTCTTTATAGTTATATTGCTCTTGAGCTTAGTTTTACAACAATGTTGCTTTGATTGTAATATTAATATTTTTATCAAACAAATTATTATTATTCTTATTTTATATTAATTGACACAATGGCGCACATGATATACTAAACTAATACTCCCTCAGTTTAAAAAAAAATGATCTATTTTGATTTGACACAAAATTTAAAAAAAAAAAAAAGACGTTTTAATGTTATGATTCTAAACTAATGTCAAATGTATCAAAATATCTTATAATCTTGCTGCATTAAACATAACATATCCAGGGGCGGACCTACGTATAACATTGTGGGTGCTCGAGCACTCATTCACCCCGACATAAAATATATATAGTTATACATAAATATCAAGAAAAATTGATATATATAACCGGTGAACACCCATGACACATAAGTCTGCTTGCTTGCTAAGGGCGAGGGATCGATTCCCGCATAAGGCAAAAACCTTTTTCTTACTTCTTTTCTCACTTTATGTTTTGTATTAATTTTACTTTTCCTTTTGCCTTTATCTAATTTATTTTTTGAAAAGTAAAATTACAAATTTATTATAACCAAGAAAAAGAAAAAAGTGGCTTTCAAATGTTTCAATAAATTACCATTTCTAAAGATTTGAACAGTTCTATTCTTTTTTTAAAAAAGAAGCACAATTTTGAACTATATATATCACAAATGAATTTTATAATAGTATTAACATCAAATTTATAGTAATATTTTTTTTTAGGTAAAAGAATAAAATATTCATAAGTGTAAGAGCGCATTTTGCTTAACTTAAAAAGAGTAGTTTTTAAAAAGTTAAATTTTAGTAACTTTTATGTTAAAAAGTAAAAAGTAGGGAAGTATCTACTTTTAACTTTTAACTTTCTTAAAGTCAATTTAAACTTATTTTTAATTTTGTCAAACATTTTCAAAAGCTAAAAATAACTTTAAAATAACTTTTTGATCTAATTATTAAGTCAATCCAAACAGACTCTAAGTAATGACATTGTTGTTCATCATATTCATTTCAAAATATAAAAGTCGACGAGTACATTTGTTATGTGTGACTAGTCTTTTTTTGTGAACGATAATACTAAATGTAATTTTTTTCATTTACCGTTTTTACAAATATGGCAGTAAAAAGAAATTTAGAAAAAGTAAAAAAGATTAAAAACACTATTGCAGTCAAATAATTCTACACTTGGTATAATATGCTATGTAATTGATAACAACTTTATGAAAAAAAATAAAAAATAAGTTAAAGCACCCATCATTTCAAAATCTTTGATCCGTCACTGATCATATCATGCGGAGAATTAAAATGAAAGTCTTGCCCGAAAGAAAAATGGGTCTTTTTTAGAAAAGTAGTTGATTCTTTTTAAAACCGAGAATAGTACTATTAACCGGTAAAATAATAATATGAACTATTTTGGAAAGGCAAAGTGTGGTTAATACTCTTTTCCAACAGAAAAGCCTTTTACCGTTAAATTACCCCCTTTTTACGCCAAACTACCATTCGTCTCCGTAAAACGAGAATTCAGTCTTTTCCTCTTTCTGTGTTTTACTTCATTTTCAACTGATATTCAATCCATTCTGCCTCGATTCCTTAGAAACAAACAAAAATAGAGAAAGAAGAATCTATATATTTCTAATAAGTTATTACGAAGCAGCTTCACAAATGGAGGAGATTGAATATTAGTTGTTATATTGCTATTTGACGTTTCTGAATTGGTTGAATTTAGGATTTATCAACTTTTGAATGGGGGTGGAGTACACATGTTGCGAGTCCGAGTTCTTCATTCATATAGTGATCATTGTATTTCTGGTAGTATTTGCGGGAATGATGTCTGGCCTTACATTGGGGTTAATGTCGTTAAGTCTTGTTGATCTTGAAGTCCTTGCCAAGTCTGGAACTCCAAGTGATCGTAAAAATGCTGGTATTTAATTTTTTGCTTTTATCATTGCACCTTTATGTTAATTAAGCTTTTCAATGACATGATCACACAATTCAACGTGATATCTGGAGTTGGTACATCTGTATTTTGCGATGACATTTTGCTAAAAAGACATATTACTTTACGGGAGAGATACTATTTAACCAATCACTTAATATGTAGTGGTGTGGAGCCACAATTTTCACTAAGGGGTTCAAAATATGAAGAAGTAAACCCACAAAGAAGCCAAAACCTTTCAACAATCTATTATGTATATATCAAAAGAAAAAAAAACAAAATTAACCATGTATAAACAATGTAATTTTCCGTCAAAGGATTCATCCGAACCCCTCAACCCTATCTGGCTCTGCCCCTGTTCACAATTATCATTCATACCTAACAATTTCCACAAAATGGAGACCCAACTTATAACTTGTACAAACCTCTCCATTTTCCAAATATATCTTATGCATTTGTTCGTAAAGCTACTAATTTGAACGCTGATGCTTCTGGAACACCTCCAACATAGAGGATAAAAGCTCTTGGATTTTTTTCGCAATACTGAATGCCCACTTTAAAAGCAATCATATTAATTTGCTTTTGCTGAATTTTTTGTATTCTTGTGCCTCAATGGGAAGAAGAGAGAGTTGTAGTTACATCGTTATAACTGTATGATGCTGGTCACTGGCTGGACCAGTTAGTTCTAAGTGTGTAGTTCTCCTTGGTTAATATGAAATGCAATGATTAAAAATTTGTAATTGTGAATCTTGTTGCCTTGCTATGACCGCGTTGACTATATTGATGCTCTGAATATTTAGGAACTTTCTTTTGTCTTAACAGCCAAGATCTTGCCTGTTGTACAAAATCAGCATTTATTGCTGTGCACCCTACTTATTTGCAACGCTGCTGCCATGGAGGTAAGCAACATTATGAACTATGATAGTGTATCTGTTGAGGCACAATTTTCTTGCACTAGTAGGATATCCGTGTAGTTTCTGAGAATTCGTTTAAATCATTGCAGGCACTTCCCATCTTTCTTGACAGCCTAATTACAGCTTGGGGTGCTATTCTTATTTCTGTCACATTGATTCTTCTGTTTGGTGAGGTGAACTTAATTCTTCCGTAACCGACTCTTATGGGGAGTGGGCGTCCTGCATTTTACCTTCCCCTGCAATACAAAAGTCTCATCTTCGTGTTACTTTATGATAACTGAACTTGTTATTGTTAGAATTTTTTAGGTTTATCAGAGCTGATTTATGCTTATAGTACTGGTTTGCCTTCTTTGATGTTGCTGTAATTTGACGTTTTGGTTTACCGAGTAATCTGCATTGAGGATTGATGAATTCAGTAAATATTTGAATTTACTTGCACTGATGGGTTACTATTCTGTGGTTGAGCAGATCATACCTCAGTCCCTTTGCTCTAGACATGGACTGACCATTGGTGCAACTATGGCCCCATTTGTCCGCGTTCTTGTTTGGATCTGCTTTCCTATTGCATATCCAATAGGCAAGGTGAACTTATTTATTTTATAAATTTTGTTGATGAAAAATGGTCTTTTCACTTAGAACCTTTCCAATGATGGCCAATCGAACCAACTGCTGATTGTAGTACAAGTTAATGTGTCTAATATATATATTGTTGGCCTGAACCTCTTAGTTTCTATTATTTGCAGCTATTGGACTATCTGCTAGGTCATCAAAACAGTGGTCTTTTCCGACGAGCTGAGTTGAAAACTTTAGTACATTTTCATGGAAATCATGTAGGTTTTTAATTGTGTTGTAGATATATAGTTTTAGCTTGTACTATTATTAGAATGAATCGTACTGTTTTCCATTTCTGGTGCTATTTCATTGAATAATTGCTCTTTTTAAATGCTGAATATTTAGTGACCTGATTTGGTTATGGCTTCGAGTCTCTTGCATTGTTGACGTTATGTCTCCCATTCCGTGGTCCATTTCTACAGGCTGGTAAAGGTGGAGAGCTAACAAATGATGAGACAACAATAATTGCTGGTGCTTTGGAGCTTCACGAGAAAAGAGCCGGTGATGCTATGACCCCCATATCTGATATCTTTTCAATTGATCTTGACGGGAAGTTGGACAGGTTTTGCATACTCGGAATGTCCATCTAGAGAAATATTTGCATCAGTATTCGAGCTGTTTCATACTCTATTATTTTTTCCACAGAGATTTGACCAATTTAATTTTGGAGAAAGGGCATAGCAGGATACCAATCTACTCAGATCAACCCACAAACATAATTGGACTTCTTCTGGTACTATTTCTCTTATTTCCATAGTCCGGGCAAATTTTGCGTTCCACATAATTGAAAGAATAGTTTTTGCTTATGTTATTAGTTGTTACAATGTACGAGAAAATATCCACTTCACTACTTTCGATTCACAGTTCCACGTGGAGCCAGTCGTCTTTGTCTTTTCATGGCCCAAGATACCAGAAAAGGGTCTTTTATTCCCCAAATAAACTCTTTTCTTGTCCATATAGTTAAAACATAGTGACTACATGAAGCCAAAGTAAGGTCTTTTGTGAGCTTAAAGATGATTTGGAGGCTATTTTCTTTTCAGAAGGTGAATAGGCCCTTTCTTCATTTCCATGACGACAGAAATTTGTGGAAACACAAGCACGTGTTATTCTACCAAATGATCATGTTTCTCACACATATATAAAACCCTATCTATGTGGAAACACAAGCATTTCAATTTCTCTTGTTTTCATTTACCCCGACCATGTAATTATGTAGACAAGTTAAAATTCCATTTGATTTGGCAATACAATAAGTTCTTCTTATACCTCAACCAAGTACTACATAAGTAAACAGTTCCATTTCTCTGGTAATACAATAAGTCATATGTTGACGTACTTTTCCCGTGACCTTGTAGGTCAAGAACTTATTAACCATCCATCCAGCAGATGAAACCCTTGTAAGAAATGTTACCATCCGAAAGATCCCAAGGTATATTTTGTGTTGCTCATGTACATGTACTCTATATATTTGGACGCATTATCACGCTACTTTGAATGTATTATCACACTATAAATAATGTTGTGATTAAGAAGTATAAAAGAACATCCATAATTCTACTTGCTTCTCCGATCATTGTCTATTAAATTTCTCCCTTTATAAGATAAGGTACTCAAATACATGATTTACCTTCTTTATGGTGCAGGGTCTCATATACCATGCGATTGGACGACATCTTGAATGAGTTTCAGAAAGGTCATAGTCATATGGCTGTGATTACAAGAGAATGCAACAAAAAGACGAACCAACCCGCTAGCAATAGCGCCCTTGCTCATAGTAAGCATCTTCTGTTTTCTGTAACTTCTCACATGTAAACTTTTTTCTGATATGAACGTTCCGCTTTGTTTTCCCTATCTAGATTCTGTTGAGGATGTGAGAGTAGACATTGATGACGAAAGACCTGTTCCCGAGAAGAGTACTACATCATTACAAAAGGGCAAGAGTAGTCTTCCCAATGGTGGAAACAATTCAGCCAGGAGAATTAGGAATAGGAGCAGGATGTCCTCGAAAGATATGTACGCGGATATTTTGCGGATAGATGAAAATGATCTGCCAAATATCCCTGATGATGAAGAGGTAGTTGGAATAATAACTATGGAAGACATTATTGAAGAGCTTTTACAGGTAAAATCACTCAAGATTTTGGATTGAAATGGTTTCCATGATTTCTTTAGTTGCCAAGGTATTAAAATGTCAATTCTGTCTTTTATGTAGGAGGAAATTTTTGATGAGACGGATCATACAAAGCATTTATAGCAGCAGTTCTTTTGTATTTAATATAACAAACTAATGTGTAATTGCCCACGGTATTAGTCTCTCGGAACATGCGTTGAGCGTTTATACTAATACTTAATACAAAGGGCACATTTAATCGAACAAAAAAAAATAATAACAAATGGATGTAGAAATTCAGAGTGTGTTTGGTACGAAGAAAAATATTTTTCAGAAAATATTTTCTAATTTTCTCATGTTTGGTTGGGTAAAATATTTTGGAAAATGTTATTCAAATCAACTCATTTTCCTCAAATTCAAGAAAATGACTTCCCTTCAAACCGTAAGAAAAACATTTTCCAAAACTTTCCTCCAATTTTAATACAATTTTTTTGTTGAAAAAGTCAATTTTTTTGTTGAAAAAAAATAAATTTAAGCTTTTTTTAAAATATATTTTTCAACTTCAATTTTTTTATTTTTTTAC